TGCTACTTAGAACACACAATAACAGTAGCTCCGTTATTATTAGAGCTGCACAAAAAGCGTAAATACAAAAATTAAAGCTAATTTAACTCACAATAATATGGCCTACTTTAACTTAGTTTTCTAATGTGTCATTTATGAAAAAATCAGGACCATAGTTGGAAATATTTGAACACCTTCCAATTCCATAAAGGTAAATGAATATTTTTAGGAAACCAAAGGGTGGTCTGAGTAAAGCACATGCCGCCTTTGGAAGTTCGAGTTAAGTACGATTTCCTATGTAAACACAATTTCCAAAGGTGACCTGACGGTCTCTGATTTTTGATCGCCATGTATAATGTACATATCTCACTATTGAACCTAATTGGTATCTCTGATACCTTTCGAAATTCCTACTCAACCTGTATGCGAGCCAGGATAACATAGTTCAGTAGAAACTTCGTGCTCTACTGCTACATATCAAATCTTTTCGACATATTAAGCGAACATTCCAGAAATTTCGATAGACATTGAGGCGAGGCGATAGAGAACAAAACGAAGGCGGATGTGCTGTAATCTTTCTGAGAAATATGGCGTGTTTGTTCGAGGACGTTCTAGAATAGTCGGATGACTTTGGAAACTCTGGAGATCTTTCGAAAAAGAGGGAGAGTTTTCTATATAAGCAAACGACCAAGTTAACAGAGCAACACAGAAATTCCAACTGGGATGATGAATGAAAGCGGACTTTTGAGGATCTTAAACAACTTTTGTTAGGGGTCCTTTGTCCATCTATTCTGGAATAGAAACTAGCTAGCAATGTTAGAATGGATGCTGTACTGTCCCATATGCGGGATGGGCACGAGAGGGTCATTAGGTATTTCAGTCAAGTCTTCTCTAACCGGAACGTAATTACTGTGTCACTCGAAGGGAACTACTAGCTGTCATCAAGTCGATCGAGTGTTTCCATAGGTATGTGGATGGCCAATAGTTTCTTTGCCGCATTGCGATGGTTGTTGCAAGTCCAGAAGGCCAAGTGTCTAGATGGTTGGAAAGACCGGGGCGATACCATCTTAATACAGATGCCTTATCTAGAAGACAATGTCCTGAGGATTGTCGACACTGCTCACAACTGGGGCACAAATATGAGGAACAACACTTACGACTCACTCCACTTGTGGATGATAAACGGGCACCACAAGGACTCCCTGACAGATCAAGAAAATTACCGTGGTTTGCGTTTGATTATAAACTGAAAAAGAAGCATAATGCTCTACCAAATCAAGAAGCGACAATCGTGGCAGATGTTCTGGTAAAAAACTCTTTAGCAGATTTGGAGTACCCCTGAAACTACAAAGTCGGCGCTGTTCCATAGTCAATATCAATCGAGGTGTCAACTATTGGGCATTACCAAAACCAGAACCACTTGTTTATAGACTGGTCATTCATAAAACCTAATTGTTGAATTAATATACAAAAAAAATTTAAAACGGTTACATGAACAACTATTGCTATTGTCTAATGCCTATCGAAAAAATCCCACCCCTGGAAATTCCAACCAATTTAAAGCACTTCGTAATAAATATAGAACAGTATTGCCAAAAAGTCAAGTAACGATAATTACATAATGAGTTCCCATAACCCCCAAAAGGCAATGTGGGACGTAATTAATAATGCTAATAAAAAAAGGTCACTTTAATCCAACGGACCTATCATCAAATGCATTTAATCAGCATTTCACACAAACTGCAGTGACAATTATAGAGAGTCTGCCACCGCGAAATACTTCTTACCAAAAATTCGTATACAGCCTAAACGTTACTGGTCATTTCAACTTTAGTGAATTGAGTTACGTACAAGTTCGGGACACCATAAAAAATTAAAATGCAGTAGGTAATAGCAAAGATACTTACGGTATTAATCATACAATTGTAAAGTCCATATTAAATTCAATTGTAATTCCACTAACTAATTTATACAGGGTGGCCATTTGAAAACGAAACAGAGCCTATTTTGGTGACCTCAAAACATTTACGAAAAAATCCTCGGACTCGTCAATTTTTCATCCAAGGGGGAACCATTTTTTTGCTAGTTTCGCCCCCCTGAGGGCAAAGCCATAGCGGGGGTGACAAGTGCCCCCAAAATTTTAAATCTAATGGGGGGTCGAGTGATACCTTATTTTGAAGGTATTTTTATGTACATTATAACTTAAGATTTTAATCAATTTTATTTTAAGTGCTTAAAGCTAAAATCAATCAAGTAAATGTTGAAAATGTTGGCCTTCGACTTCCATACAATAATACAGGTTTTGTTCAAACCCTTCCCGTACATTTTCAAAGGGGTGATTTGACGACATTCATCAATTATTCTTTGTCGCAAGTTCTCTAGCGATGTTGACTGACTAGCATAAATTTTAATTTTTAAATGTTCCCATAAAAAAAATCTAACGGAAAGTCCGGCGAACGAGGAGGCCATTCGCTCCTCTTCTTTCAATCCATTGTCCTGGAAACGTTTGGTCCAAATATTGACGAACCCTTGCAGCATAGTGGGGTGGCGCACCATCTTGCTGAAATACTAGACGATTTTCCAAGTACTCGTTGTTATTTTCTAGTATCTGCACTAATGCTGGATGAATCGTATTTTCTCATAACTCCAGGTACATCTCTCCTGTTAGATTGTCAGGTACAAAGAAGGGGGTTACCAAAAATGCCAGCCCAAACATTCAATTTTTCGGGACATTGTGTATGCACCTCACGAAATATTCTGGGATGTGAATCAGCCCAATAGCGACAGTTGTGACGATTCACAGCACCGTTTAGGAAAAAGGAACATTCGTCATAGCCACCTACAGATATTAAAAAGAAAAAAAAAACATCAAAAAAAGTACAGTTCAGAATGTATGATAACAACATTTTTTGTATTTATTGTTGTATTAATTGTTGTTATTTAACTAATTAATTTACAAGCATTTTTTTTTCATAAGAAAATGTTGACACGTTTTTAAATTTTATTAGCCTCTGTATCGGCTAGGCAAATTAGGAGCGATTTAAAACTTAAGGGTTATAATCCACATAAAAATACCTTCAAAATAAGGTATTACTCGACCCCCCATTCGATTTAAAATTTTGGGGGCAGTCGTCACCCCCGCTAGAGCTTTGTCCTTAGGGGGGCGAAACTACCAAAAAAATTGTTCCCCTTTGAATCAAAAATTGACGGGTCCGAGGATTTTTTCGTTAATGTCTTGAGGTTCCCAAAATAGGCTCTGTTTCGTTTTCAAATGGCCACCCTGTATAACCAATGTATACGTAGTAGACCTTCCCCTCTTGTTTAAAGCTGCGAATCGGATCTAAATAATTCTTATCGACCAATATCCGTAATACCTGTGTTTGGAAAAATATTTGAAAAAGCACTAGGTATGCAATAGTTATTTGAAAGTGGAGTTTTTCAACTCGAGTTCAAAATGCGTAGCGAGTGTGTCAATTGAACGAGAGTTGAAAAACACTTTCTTCTCAAGTTTTACACATACTTTTTTTCTGAAACATTCAATGTCAATGTCATTATTAAGATTAATGCGGCAATTGTTTTTTACTTTCCTCACTAGAGAGGAAAATCACATTTTCTTCACCCGTTTTAGAGACTAAAGTAGTTTAAAGAAAAATAGTTAAACAATGCAGGCGAAATAATAAACCATACGCGGTAAATTTATAAAACAAAGCGCTGTCTATTTATATGTCCATTAGCGAATGGAAAACTCGCAGTTTAAAACACAATTGTGGTACTACCCTTGATATTTCACTACAACTATTTTAACGATTTCAAAACACGCTTGGTATCTAAGAGGTAAGTTTAAGTGGCATATGAAACTCCGGCCTTGAGATGTTTCAAATGCTAAATGTGGAGAGTAAAATGTTGTAGGTAATTTTTGACATGGATTTTGAGTTAGGATTAAGGTTTTGGATAGCTCCTCTATCATCTAAATTTCAGCGCTTGTGAGTAGGTAATACCATAGATAAAATATTTATTTTATATTTATTATACAAGGGAAAAAGTATTAGATTTTAGCTCGAGGTGTGTTTTTCCCGTGTATAATACACTATTTTTGTCTGTGGCGGGGAAAACGTATTAAAGTCGTATCGATTTATAGAAATTTGAAGTTTTAAAGTGCAGATATGCTGTTGGACTTCTCGCGACAGTACGAACTGCGTTGCTAAGGAAACCTTTACGCAAATATCTGTCAATTCAGTTTTGTCATTTGATTTAAACATTTCGAATTTAATGATTGTTTAGTAATTAGTAGTTATTATGAATGATATAAAGTTAAAAATGTCTGATTTTGAATTTTCTCTTTCTTCATCTGAGTTAGTAGACGCAGTGAAATTGGCGTCACAAAAATTGAATATCTATCTTAACTTATACTTACACTATGCTTATACATATGCGAGTATATCCGAGAAAAAAGTACTCACTTTTTTCCCGGGGAAAAAGTGATTTCATAAAAAGTGACATTTTCTTACCTATCAACAGGGTTAAAATGTCAAACGTTTTTCGCGTCATAAAAAAATCTTTCATTGTCGTCCTAAATTGATATTCATTATTGTATCTTTACTCAATTAATCATTGCAACTGGCTGCATGATTAAACTTTTCCACAAAAGAAAATACTTCATAATGCTTACACTTAAATCCCCCTACCTATACATATATTATCGAATGCTTTATCACTTGTAATTTTTAACAATTTGTCGTAATTAATGGAACTGTTCGTTAATGCTGAATATTACCTACCTATACACCCCCATTACCAAATCGAGCCCGCTTCTCATTCTGTTACTGCCACTAATTAAATTATAGGGGTGCTATGAATGAACACAAAAGTTGAAATTGATCAGTTAAAACAAGCTTTCCATCCCCTTCATTGTGTCGCTGTCATTTAATTACCAAAAGTGATTGTTGTAGGCGCCTATTTAGTTGCTTACTTTTATGTCTGCTTTATAATTGGGCGAACTGAACTGTATATTATTGTTATAGACGAACGCCGCTCTCATATACGACGCTTTGAACTTGTTCATTACCATCTTCGCCGAGTTAGATGTCTCGCAAAGAATACAAGTGAAACCCCTGAACTGCCAAGGAAGCGAAATTTCAGATCACGGACTAAGCATGTCAGCTTTCATACGAATAGTAAGTAATATTTTGCGCATTTTAAAATTTTATTGTATGAAGTATTTTAAACTTGCAACACAAATTTAGAACCATCACGCTTTACATCCCTTAGGAAACTTTTGACAGGCCAGAAAAAACGTGACTCAAATACTTATTGCCGGTTTATTCTGTGTATTGTTTTATGCACTTTTTGTAGTTTATTGGGTAGGTACTGTTTTTCCGCAAGTGTCTTAGTTGTTTAATATTTAAGTAACTTCGTTTAGAAATGTACGGCGGCATTCCAAACGGGATTGCGGCGAATAACTGCTTCTGCTTATTTTAATAATTGAATAGGAAATAGGATTAATTTAATATACTCCTAAAATTTTCTTTGCCGACAGATTTATATTAATTATTTGCCATTATCACAAAACGTGTTCCAAAAACGAGGCAGAATAGCAAATTGTAGTGTTATAAATTTTTAACACCCTTATTAACTTTTAAAGTGGTATAATACCCAATTTTATAATTGGGATTTTATGATGCCACCGCATCCCCTAACGATCAGAACCATTTTCACACCATTTTCTGCATTCAAAAGGTATGTTTTTCTAATATTTAATTTGTGTAACCTCCAAACCCACAAATTGAATGTTGGAATAAAGCTTTTTGTTCCAAATGAAGCGTATTTGGGAATAAACTAAAATAAAGTTTGGTCTATTTTGGTGCACTAACTGTGGGGGGTTATGTTGGCATCACTGAATCGTCATCTCACTATCTCTACTCGCATCGTGCTGATTTATGTGACATCGTTGTACACCATCTACTCGGAGCGGCTTGTACCTATGTGTTTCTTTCTGCGCCCATTTCCAGCTTCTTGCCCCTTTTATTCTCAAAGAAAAAATAAAAATGGCTCTTCGAGACCAAACCTAATGCTGTGCCTCTTTTTTCTGAACTTGAAACATAAAAGCAATTAGCAATCGAAGAAGCTGAAGACTCTGAAGAATCTTATGAATTAAGAATTTGGTGTTTGGCTTGTGTGTTTTAATACTTTTATTCAGACCTGGAAAATGCAAAATAGGTGTTCTGGTTACCATTAGAGCTGTGGAAACCAACAGTTCTATCCATTAAAAAAAAGTTAATGATTGACATCTAAATGAAAGGAAATGTGATAAACTATTATACCAAGTGGTACAAGTGGAATTGTTTTAAACAAATGGAGAGAAGATAGAAGTTCAGGATACCCACTAAAAGATACGGGGATTGTGAAGAAGTTAGGAATCTCAGGAAAGAAAGTAACTTACAGATATGAAAGACATTGAAAAAGGAATCGTGGAGAGGGCGGGTGAAGAAATAATGGTACAGCCCAATCACAGGAATTGTCACTATCAACTGGACGACGTGCCGACAAATAATAATTTTGAAGAAAAACTACCACGAATAAGATTTGGAAGAGGAAAATCCAAAAGATGGGATTTCTGTAAATATGTGCTTTTAGGAGAATGTGAAGACTTCAGGCAGCCAGATGCTCATCGAATTGTACCCACCAGAAGACTAATGGAGCTCCCATCATAGCAGAGGCCCTTCTTGCATGGATAGCGAGTGGAAAATGATAGAAACCAGCCATGTCCATCTGAAGCAAAGCTTTGGAGTAGAACATTTTGGGGTAAAAGTCTATATAACTTGCGAACTTCGAAGGATAAAAAAGGCGCTGATGGAAATACAGCAAGGGGGAATAAAGACAGGTGGGAGATCGCGTTGTTGTGGAAGATGAAAATAAGAAGCTGCCAGAAAGCAGAGGAATTAGTAGGAAGAGGCGACACAAGTATATTAAGGTATTTTCTATCCTACAAAAAGAAGGATTTTATCTTTGTGCTTAGAATTCAAATAGCAAGGAGGCAATCGAGAAAATACCCGAAGAACAGAGAGGGAGAAAGAGAGGAATGTTCGTGTTCAACTTTCACAAAATGAAAAAAGACATCCTGGACGGAACACCCTTTAGGTTTATTAGCCACCTTTAAAAATAGGTGATGCTAAACTTACAGTTAACATGGAAACGGAAATAGGCCGGGATTATGATTTGACATCCTCAGTTAATGAAAAATGGAAAGTCTGGATGCATGAATTGAAAAAGACAATAGAAACCAGAATACTAGATGGAAAGGATTTTAGAGATCAAAAAGAGTTGAATTGAATGTCTTCTGCGATGTGGGGGAGGAATCGTATGCGACAGTAGCGTATTTTAGATTTGTAAATAACGCAAAACTTGAAGTGGCTTTTATTGCTGCGAAAACTAGAGTTCCCCGTTGAAGCAAATGTCATCCCAGGCTGGAACTACAAGCTGTCTTATTGGGAAGCAGGCCGATGGAAACAATAATGTCTAGGCATGAAAAGGTACTTAATAACACTTATATGTTATCTGGGTGGGATAAGAGGAGACGCTGGGAAGTATCACCAATTTGTGGCGAATAGAATAGGTGAAATAGAGGAACTCAACCAAGCAATCTAGTTGGCACTAGATGCTAACCGCGGATAATCCAGCCAAGGAATCCACAAAATATAAGACCAGTTTTGGAAGAGTTAACGATGATGGAAAAATGTGAGTCAATAGGCGAGAAAAGTGGACTTTACGACCTAACACCAGAAATGAAGAACGGTCTAATATGGGTGGGAGGTTCGGTTGCAACTCAGAATGGGAGAAAGAATCCAATTATACTTGACTCTAGGTAAAGAATTACACAAATGATAATTGAATATTATCAGAAGGCAAATCATATCGGCAGGGTGCACCTGGAGGTTTAATAATGCCTTGTTGTTGCAAATGATTGACAAATGACCTGTCTTCTGTTTTTTTCGGTGCAAGTTCCAATCAGAAAACTGTGTCATAAACAATATAAAACCAAATGAATTATGCCTTCGACTAGGTACCTAAATCCGTTCACCTTGACCAACCCAAAGCGACTACACTCTACGGCTCAGACCAGACTTTTTTTCCTTCACCGCTCAAATGCGAATCTCCAAGCACCACGGCCCAAACGCGAATGAATAATGTTGTGCAAAGCTCGTCCCCTCTCTCTATACTAAGCTTAAAACGTCTATCTCATGGTGGAAAGCAATGGCGGCGATTCTTCGTTAATTCTGATTGGTTTACCAACTCTAAAGTGGTCGACAAAAAGCGCTGATGCAACAGAAATTTACTTATGCCTTTCTCAAAGGAACTTAATTCGCAGTATAAGATTTGAAACCTTATATGACCCCTTTTTATCACGTAAAACGAGACTACGTACAATGCAAAACAAGGACGTCTCTAATAAGTATGACGAATACAGCAAATTAAGCTCGGCGGATTCCAATCGACAAAATACTTGAACGTGACATTACAAATATTTATTTGGTGGAACATCACTGAAACCTGACTGTTTGTAAACTTAAAAACTTTTCCTTCCGCAAATTACGTAACCATACCCTCTCCTTACAAAGGAGAGAGTAATTAATAACGTAAGACAGAAATATTTCGTTATCGCCATCAGGAGTTTGGTGAAGAATGTATGGCAAATGTATATTTGAAATAAGAGTACCGTTTGCTGAGACCGGATGGACTGTTACGGGGTAATGGTGGAACGACGACATGGGGGCCAATAAACGACATGCTCACAGAAGGTTGTTTGATGGCGGTCAAAAGATTTATTAATAAAAGAGGATGTCCAAAGGTTCTTTATTCAGATACCGGAACAAATTTCTGATGATGATCTGAGTGTGCAAGGAATACGTTGGGAATTAATTCCGCCAGCTTGGCTACTGCTCGTAACGAGATCGAAAATATAAAAAATTCGAGACATTTAACGTACGAGAGTTTTAGCGTCGGCGTGAAAACCGTAAACACGGCTCCCCGCGTTGTTATAATTTTGAGCGATTTTAAAAGGGATTACAATCGAGTTAAAAGCAAAAGTAGTGAAATGAGAAAAAGTGCGGAAGTGTGACTTACAAAACCTTAAAATTAGTTAAATTTTAGTAAAATTTACAAGCACCTGCAGCTACGTTACATTAAGTGTATAAACATCAACAACATAATAAAACCTTGACCAGTATCATTGAATCAGATTTATTATTCAATGCCAGTATCTACTGCATACAGCGCGCTAACGGTAAGTGGGTACTACAGCACACCTATCGTAATAACAGAACTATTTTTTCGCGAAAAATATTTATACTAGTTAGTAAATGAGTAAAAACGTAAAATCTGATGCAGCGAGAAAACTAAGTGTAGGCTCAATAGAAGAATTCTTATTCAAAAGGAAAAGAGAAGAAGAAGAAGGAAAAGGTCAGGTAGCAGAAAAATTTGACGCCTTCAAAAAGAGCAAGGTGATGCAAAGGACACCACCCACCGCAAGCAAAACAGAGAAACAAACAGATAATAAAGCAACAAGTATGGAAAGACTAGAGCAACTGATTACAGCGATGACCTTACAAATGCAAGAAGTTAAAGAAGAAATCAAAGAGGAGATCAAAAGCGCAAGAAGCGATATAAGAAGTACAAACGAACAAATGAAGAGATATGGTGAAGAAATAAGGATTTTAAATGAAGAGCTGAAGAAAAAAGAGGCAGAGTGGCAAAGCGAAAGGCAAGAATTACGACAAGAAATTAACCAACTTAAAAAGAGACTAGACACCCAAGACAAAAACACTAAGAAGAATAACATAGTAATTAAAGGATCAACATTGCAAGGAAATAATATGAAGGAGCAGGTCAAAGAGTTTATAGAAGAGCAAATTGGAATAAAGGTAGAGGTAGAATGTAGAAACAGCGTATAAGATAGGAAAACACGAGACTAAAGTAATAGTAGCAAAACTAAACAATTTTGAGCAAAAAGTTGAAGTGCTTAAGCATAAATACAAACTTAATGACCAAAACATATACATTGATAGCGATCTAACCCAGGAGGAGCAAAAAGTACAGGCCATGATAAGAAAAGTTTCTAAAGAAGAGAAGGCAAAGGGAAACAGCACTAAGGTAGGCTACAAAAAATTGGAGATAAACGGCTTGAAATATGTATGGGATGAAGAACATGGAAAACTTAAAGAGGCAAAAAACTAACGAGAATAAGACCAAATGGATATTTGACGACGAAAACGGCTACGAAAACGAAAATGAAGATGGAAAACAATATATTTTTGGCAACCTGGAACGTAAGAGGCACTTATGAGGAAAGGTTAATAATTAACGAGCTAACAAACCAACTAAAAAGATACAAAATAGATATAATAGCGTTGCAAGAAACTAAGCAGAAAGGAAACGAGGTTTATGATATTAATGGTTATACTTTCTTCAAGAGTGGTGGGAAAGACAGAAAATTAGGGACAGGTTTCATGGTAAGCAATAAACTAACGACAGCGGTGACACAGTTTACACCCACCATAAAGAGTACTTACTACCAACACAAAACGATCCACAAAGGCACTTGGAGAGCACCACATGGAAACACGATTAACCAGATCGACCATGTTTTAGTTGACATTAAAAATGAAAAACTTATTAAAGATGTAAGAAGCTACAGAAGGCCAAATCTAGACTCTGACCATTTTTTAGTTGGAATAAAGATGAAGCAAATGATACCAACTAATACAGCAATACATAATGCAAGGCAGAGGAAACAAGCAAGAATAGGTATACAGGAACACAATTCGCAAATAAAATTTGAAAAAGCAATGGAAGAAAAGTTAAAAAGGAAAGAACAACACAAAAGTATAGATGAAAGGGTGAAGTGGATAGAAGACAATCTAAACTCTGCAGCACGGACGTGCTTTACAAGGCCACACAGACCAAATAAGGAATGGTACGACGCTGAATGCCAACAAGGGTACAGCAAAAAGAAAAAGCCAGGATGAAGATGTTGCAAGCAAATACAGAAGAAAACATACGCAACTACGATGAGCACCGGAAAAAGTGTAAAGCAATATGCAGAGCGAAGAAAAGAAAACACCAAGCTAAAATATTAGAAGATATAGAAGAAAAATATAAAAACAAGGAGATTAAAAACTTTTACCAGGGCACAAAAAAGGTCAAAAGAGGGTTCCAGCCGACAACAAAAATGTGTAAGGATAAAGATGGGAATTTAATAGGAGATCAAAAACAGATAATGGAAAGAGGGGCGGAATATTTCGAGGATCTACTCAACAAACGTCGAGAAAACGAGAAACCATTACAAACGAATCTATCAGCACAGGCAAGCAACGATGCACAGGTCGAAGCTCCGGAACTGGATGAAATAATAAAGATAATACTCAAGTTAAAGAAGAATCGAAGCCCAGGAGCAAACGGAATACAAACAGAAATGATGAAATATGGAGGAAAAAGCTACATGTACAAATATTTGAACTGATACAGGAAATATGGAAAAATCCAAGTCCAAAGTCTTGGAGCGAAGCATTAATCTGTCCACTTTACAAAAAAGGGGACAAACAAAACTGTGAAAACTATAGAGGAATAGCTCTGCTAGATACAATGTACAAAATCTTAGCCACTTGCATAAACAACAAATTAAAAACTTACTCAGAAGAAATACTAGGTGAATACCAATGCGGTTTTCGACAAGGAAGATCAGTAGTAGACCAAATATTTGTACTAAAGGAAATACAGGCGAAAAGTTACCAGTACCAACTCCAAACGTACCTTCTGTTTATCGATTTTAAGCAAGCCTACGACAGCATTAAGAGAGAACATCTGTACATGGCGTTGAAGGACCTTGGAATACCGCATAAGCTGATCAGATTGATAAACATGACCTTACAAGACACGACAAATATGGTGAGAGTGAACGGAGAATATTCAAGAAAGTTCGGAGACAAGAACGGTTTGAGACAAGGCGACCCACTGTCAACTACTTTATTCAACCTCGTGTTAGAAAAGATTTTGAGAGAAAGCAACGCCAATCGTCAAGGCACAATTTGTCACAACAGGCATCAAATCCTCGCATTCGCAGACGACTTAACAATCTTAACAAGGTCAAAAGACGAACTACAAAATACTGCAAAGAAGATTATAACAATTGCTAAAAAAAATAGGATATATATGGTGTGGGACAATAAAAAATGTGACCAAGACAACCATTTAAGAATCACAATAGACCAAAACAGTGAGTACCGATTTTCAGAGGTAGGTGTGTTTGTGTATCTAGGGACAGTAATATCAAAAACACCCGGGAGTGCAGATGAAATTAGTGCTAGAGTAGCTGCAGGGACCAAGAGTGCTTTCGCGCTAAAATCAATAACGGGAAACGTGTTCTCTAGAGCAGTAAAACTCCGAGTGTACAAAACTATTATAAGGCCGGTACGCATCTGAAGTGTGGACGATAAGAACAGGAACAGTTGTTACTCAGCATATGGGAAAGGAAAATTCTGAGAAAAATTTATGGAGGTAAAAGAGTGGGAAACACATGGGAACGGAGAACAAACAAAGAAATAAAGGAGCTGTATGACGATGCTGATATAGTAGGTGTAGTAAAGGCACAACGAATAAGGTGGATAGGGCATTTAATAAGGATGAACCAAGAAAGAGTTCCCAGTAAAATTTGGACAGTAGAAATGGGAGGTAGAAGACGAGTAGGAAGACCCAGAACCCAGTGGAAAAAGGAAGTCGAAGACGATCTAGCGCGACTACAGGTTCGAGAGTGGAGGGCAGCTGCTGAAAATAGGACAAAATGGGCATCAATTGTCCACCAAGCCAAGGGCCTACAAGGCCTATAGTGCAAATATATATATACCGGTGAACCCAGAAACGGAAGAAGTGTTGATACCCAACCATTCCTGATTGGTCAGAACTGGGAACTAAAGACAATGGAGAAGAGGAAAGGAATTAGTACATTAATTTTGGAGTAGATTGTTGAAAGAGTATACTCCAACTCCAACGCGAAGGATAAAGTGGTTTACAAATAAAGAAGAGCGACACGTAAAAGTACCGTATCGACAGTATCCGCGACTTTTCCTTCACCTACCGATCACGGTCGAGTACGGTACAATCGTCACTTGACACCGTGGTCTTTTCTGCTTGAACGAAACTCTTAAATTTATAGCCATATACCTACGAAACCATAAACATTTCCAATGTTAAAATGATAAAAGTATACACTTTGTTGTTACGTATAATATGACGTGATATTACTACCAACTTAGCATAAAATGTAGCGTAATTTACATCCAAACTAATTTGTTTACATCAACACTAATTTTGTATATTTTCCAGAGACCCTTAACTAAAGGCCGTATGATTGGTCCACTTACCGGCCCTTTAGAATTTGATAACTTAGGACGGCGTAGAGTATTTGCATTGCAAATTATCGAACGTTCGCCGCAACATCATCGAGTTGTGGGAGTGTGGAGCTCGAAGGACGCCAAAAGCATCAATTACACGATTAGCAGTAAACAAATTAAACAGGAAATTAAAACGCAGGTACAAATGAAGACGTATCGAGTGAAATCGAGGTAATGCGATTTTGTGTGTGTATTTTTTACATTTCAAAATGACGGTGGTGGGAAATATTTGTCTTGTTTCGACGGAACTGAATAGGTATAAATTGTTTTATCAATATCAGGCCCCAGGGTAGGTACAACTATGTTATGTGATGCCTCATAGGGTTCCAATAATACAAGAAGGAATTCTCTCAATATCTTGCGGCAGAAGTGAAATCTACAGGTGGCTTTTGTTGTGACTGTTCCTTTTCAAACATGAAAACTTATTTTTAACTTCCATAATGCACCTAACATTAAGTTTATCACTTAAATTGGCATGAATAAATAATACTTCTAGCAGTCGTTTTAAAGTTTAGGGGATTTATTTATGCAAATTAAATTTATGTAAACGGATGCCAAGACAAAGTCTGATAAAAACTGTTCATTCAACCCTGCTGCTGATTACATGTATTTTTCACTATCTTTCATGCACTTGTATTTATTTTTATCTTATTTCGCTTGTGTGTGAAAGTTTGCGGTCGAAATTCAAGAACCAAAACTTTAATATTCGAATAGTGATGAAGAATTAGAAGTTTAACTTTGGAATAAGCCGTGGAAAAACATTTCAAAGTCGGGTTCGTTTCAAGTTTCGAGTTACTGCAATTTTACATGTGTGCGAATAGACGAATTTTAATAAATTTCGAGGCGTAGAGATCTTTTAGCAACCTCATTCGTTACCTGGCCGTTTATTTACGATTGATAAAATTTACGCGAAGGAACATTTTCGAGTCGAGTAGTTAATAAATTGTGTAAAATTAGTATCAACGCAACGGAACATTGGTATTCAAATTGAAACCAGTTTGTTCACTAAGTCAGCTTTCTTATGCAGAACCGATCTGTTTCCCTATTTCTAAAGGAAGCGACATTTTCTAAGGAGAGATTAGATCAATTTGTAACCTGAAAGGACCTCAAAAGGAACAAAAATATGTAATTAAATTAAAACATATGGCATAACCTAAAAAGAAACGTGTTAAGAGGAATTCTATGAAAATAACCCAAAGTGAAAACAGCCAGCCATTCTCCATTCGCGTAAAAACGGTCAGATGATTAATTGAAAAAAAAACTTACGATATTTATTTTCTTATTTCATTTTTATTCTGGAACAAAGGTTATTTCAATATCTTCTTTCAGATTGCAAGAGCCCTACTTACGAATTAGAAAACCTGTTCCTGGTACCATACTTAAGGGAAATAATATCTTTGAAGGATATGTTAAGGACCTACTCGACGGAATTACAGAAATACTGAATGCGTCATATGAACTTTCCTTAGTTGAAGATGGTTATCATGGGAATTATGACCCTAAGAAACGCGAATGGAATGGACTAATTAAAGAAATTTTGGAAAGGGTAACAATATTTTTCGTCACAAATTTTTTTAAAATTTCCTTTCGAGTATTCGAGACTAATCGAACAGTTCGTGAAAAAAAATAAATTAAAGGTTTTATCCACTCAAACAATTTTCACTTATTCCTTTTGCGAAATCCTCATAAACGATCTGCAAAGAGGCAGTTATTTAGCGCCACCTCAAAACTCGTTCCATATTTCTACATTTCGGAGACACCGCAACGCACGCATGTCTGTGAAGTTGGCCTGGATAAAATAGCCCGGCAGCATCGCACCATGCTAGATCGTTAGTGCTTTGTTAGTGCTCGTTAGTGCCTCACAAGTTAACATAAGGGCTCAAACCGTTTTCTCAAAATAAAAATTTTTTTTTGTTCGGGTCAAGTTCACGTTTGCCCGGACAATGACTCCAATTTGCATCAAATTTTGTAGATCGTTAGTGCTTTGTTAGTGCTTATTAGTGCTTCATAATTCAACGTTAGGGCTCAAACCGTTTTCTCAGAATACCTTTTTTATTTATTCGGGCTAACTTCACGTTTGCCCGGACAATGACTCCAATTTGCATCAAATTTTGTAAATCGTTAGTGCTTGGTCAGTGCTTGTTGGTGCTTCATAATTTAACGTTAGGACCCGAACAGTTTTCTCAGAATAAATTTTTTATTGATTCGAGCCAACTTCACGTTTTCCCGGACAATGACTCCAATTTGCATCAAATTTTATAATTCGTTAGTGCTTTAGAATTCAATGTTAGAACCCAAACCGCTTTCTTAAAATACAGTTTCCTGTTGGGAACAAACTTCATTTTTGACGTAGCTCTTTTCACATTGGCATGCAGCGCGATTCATCTATACGTACCGTCACCGTTCCGTTACCGCACCGTCAACGAAACGTAAAATATTCTCGTTTACAAATTTTGACGGGGCGGACGGTGACGTAACTGTGTAGTCTATAGCTACTACCTATATGTACCACAACTGGCTCGTCCGCCATTTTGGAGCCCACTGACAATTGACGCTTGCAAAACACGTACTTCTCATGACAGTAAGTTACCTTGGCAACATAACACAACATAACGATCAAGCAACACAGCGTAATATCTGACAGACTGTCAGTGGGCTCCAAAATGGCGGACGAGTCTGCTTTCTTAATCAAGTGCTGTAGTGCAGCCTGAATATGTCTATAGCCTTAGACTAGAAAAGAGAGAGGACAGGTAATACTTTCAATAAAACTGTGACCATTTGTCACCAAGACATGCCTGCCAGTGTCGTAACATACAAACAGCATTGTTGGGTGATAAGAATTATTCCTTTTATAGGACGAAGACGAATGTATATAAAATTAATTAAAACAGCAGTAGAATTAATTATTTTGCTAATTGTAATAGTTGAGAATTATATATTCAAAATAATTCAAATTGGCCAATAGAAAGCCTTTAGAACGACGCGGTACACTCCGTGCTCCGAGAAAGTTCCATTAAGTGATTTCAAATGATGAAAACTATTAACAACATATTTTGCTACATATCATGTAAGGCAAGTACTGAATAAAAACGCAAAACGTAAAAATTATGAAAAAGACGGTTTGCTCTAAAATTTACCAAACAAATTTTTACCTTTGAAACGAAATTCCGCCGCTATGGCAATGGACTGCAAGACATTAGGACGCGGACATTGGACCGCAAGACTGTAGACCGCAAAGGGAATAGACCGCAAACGATAGGCCGTGGACATTAGGACGCAGACATTGAGACGCGGACAACGGGACGCGGATATTAGGATGCAGACTTTGGGACGCGGACATAGAGACGCGGACATTAGAACGCAAGCATCATGTAGATCACCATACAAAGCAGAGATTAGATCGCAGGTAGGACAATAAAAGGTATAACAAGTAAACCAATGTTATTTTACTTATTTCATCTGTGTATGCGCTCTAACGTGTAGTCCTAGCCTAGGATCTGTGTCCTAATGTTCGGCGGTGTTTTGCGCCCCCCCCTCCCCCCCGTTCGACAACGGGAGTTGGCACTGATCAGGCCACTTTGACCACTGCCACAACACTTTTCATTAATGGAGATATACTCTTAGATTGTTTCAATTCTAATTATACTTGTATTTGCTTCTGTTGTTTTATATCGATATGTTATTAATTAGGTACACATTATCTATTTATGTTAGGTAAACTTGTTTTGTAGAATTCTATATTTGGGGCATAAAATAGACTATAATTTCACTAATTCCTGAAAATGTTACCTCTATTTTGCTCTTCACATTAACTATTTTACTTTTGCATCTTTTCATCTTTATGTCTTTCTTGTATTTGGATACAAATGTCAATTTGTAATGTCTTAATTTATTTAATCGTACGATATACCGGGTGATTCATTAGAAGTGAGGACAATTTGAATTTCCCGCAAATCAAATAAATTATGAAGTTGGTACTAACTGATGATCATTTATTTAATTGCAGTGGTGTATCATCATGCTTTCAGTAAATCGTTTACTTATTTATAATCTTCAAATACTGCTTCTGTTTTACCACAAATTATAAACTAACACTAGACACAGTCACGTTTCTTACATATTTTAGTGCATCAACTCCAACAATTGTCCAAAATGGAAAAAGTAATAAACCGCAAATGGCACACAACAATTAACGGCGACACTGGTTTCTTAAATGACAGTCATGACAGAAAAAAATGACTAACGAAATTCAAACCGTCAATCTAATAATGCAAAAAATACTACAACCTTACGCTCGAAATTCAAATGATCATCACTTCTAATGAATCACCCGGTATTATGTATAGGTACAATTTAATTTATTGGAAAGGTACTGCTCGAGCAAAAGTGAAGTGGGCCCAAACAAAAAAACATTTATTTAAAAAAAACGGTTTGGCTCCTAACGTTGAATTATGAAGCACCAACAGGCACTGACCAAGCACTAAAAATTTACAAAATTTGATGCAAATTGGAGTCATTGCCCGGGAAAGCGTGAAGTTGGCTCGAATCAATAAAAAATTTATTCTGAGAAAACTGTTCGGGTCCTAACGTTAAATTATGAAGCACCAACAAGCACTGACCAAGCGATTTACAAAATTTGATGCAAATTGGAGTCATTGTCCGGGCAAACGTGAAGTTAGCCCGAACAAATAAAAAAGGTATTCTGAGAAAACGGTTTGAGTCCTAACGTTGAATTATGAAGCACTAATAAGCACTAACAAAGCACTAACGATCTACAAAATTTGATGCAAATTGGAGTCATTGTCCGGGCAAACGTGAACTTGACCCGAACAAAAAAAAAATTTTATTTTGAGAAAACGGTTTGAGCCCTTATGTTAACTTATGAGGCACTAACGAGCACTAACAAAGCACTAACGATCTAGCATGGTGCGATGCTGCCGGGCTATTTTATCCAGGCCAACTTCACAGACACCGCAACGCTGTGATTGTTGAAGTATCGTCTCCCGCTGATAATGACAGCTTTTCTGTCGAAACGCGTTCCTTTACAAACTTTTTGTGGATTTTCTTTCTGTTCGATATAACTATTTTAATAATTTAATTTAATAATCATCATTTTGTTTTGGTTAAGTATCTAAAATGTTAAAAGGCGAGTTTGATAAGAAAGATTATACCATAAAAAATCGAACCTTAAGTGCCTACACTTTCATTATTAAACAATTCTATTTATTTCGCTTTCGAGGGAATAATAAAGCAAAATTTCTGGAAAATGAAAAATTAAAAATTGATGGTTTTAAGCTTACTTAAAACGTTTTAGCAACCGAAATGTAAAACTTCTTAATTAACTTTTCATTTGCAGCGCGAAGTTCTATTTAAAAATGGGGTAGTTTTGAGATCACGTCGCGGAAAACTCTGACCGGTTAAGGAAGAATTCAATTAAATGGCACGGCAAACCGTAAAGCCGTGTTCAAATTTCCCTACGTGACATTTCGCGAAACAAAGCGTTCCCTGTGTAAATGCACTAATCCACTCACTGGGAAGTTTAATAAAAACGAACGTAAGGAAACATAATGAACTGAATGCAAAAATTAATAAATTTAGCTCAAACGCTTCTATGTAATCTGAACAGGAACTCCTGCTTCGCTTGGCCACGCTGAAATAGTCTTGTTATGTAATAATAGTTCGCGCGCCGGCAAATTACTTCCTATAAACAAAGCAGGAGTACTGCATTTAAAGCTTCATTTACATTTGTATTTTTCAGAGAGCTGATCTTGCCGTTTGTGATCTAACGATCACGTATGAGAGGAAGAAGGTAGTGGATTTCTCGATGCCCTTTATGACTCTTGGTGAGTTCATCCCTACTTTATTATTAAAACTTTCAATGCAAAGCACTTCTGTCTGTTTGAAATGGGTATGTGGATGCTTAGGGAAGTCTTGAACAAATTCACATAAAACTATAAAGTATATAATAGGAATGTAAATAACGTTCAATTGCAAGATTTGAATCTAAAAATATTTTACTTATCCTTAAAATAATATTTCACTTGTCTTCATGCATATAGTTCAGTCAAAATAGGAAAATCAGAGGAACTAAAAATACTAGTTCCAATTTTTTCAGAAATGTGTAGGGAGAGGTTCCCTGAACAAGAAAAAATAAAGTCTCTCCAAATTCCGGTGCCGCTAGGGGAAGGAGGGGGCTTTAAACGACCCATTTTTCAGTTTTTCACTTTTAACTCGAAAATGGTGCGTTACAGTGAAAAAGTTCTTCAGTACAAAATGAAAGCTTATTAAAATTGCTACAAGTTTGGTTATATACATCTTTACGAAAAACTGAACCGTTTTCGTGCTACCGGCTCCGGAAAGGTGGTAATTTCTAAACAAAATTGTTTTTCACTCACGTTTTTCGTATATTTTTGGCTTCTAAATCCTCCCCCGGTCATTTTAGGGGAAAATCGTCACAATAAAACCTGTACAGCATTAACATCCCTATAGTCGAACCTGCTGAAGTACGAATTATCTCCATACCCCATGACTATTCCACGAAGGATGCTTCAGGAAATCTGCTCTCTATGAGGCTTTCCCTGTGTGCATGGATGCAGTGCACCTCAAAACGATTTACACTGTAGTGGACGGTGGCTTCGATGGGTACGAGGACATTAATACCATAAAACGGTTCAGTTTTCGAAAAAATGTATATAACCAAACTTGTAGCAAATTTAATAAGCTTTCATTTTGTACTGAAGAACTTTTTCAGTGTAACGCACCATTTTCAAGTTAAAAGCAAAAAACTGAAAAATGGGTCGTTTAAAGCCCCCCCTTCCCCCAGCGGCACCGGAATTTGGTGGGACTTTATTTTTTCTTGTCCAGGGAACCTCTCCCTACACATTTCTGAAAAAATTGGAACTAGTATTTTTAGTTCCTCTGATTGCCCATTTTTTGTCTAAATTGACTGGGCTAATATGAAGTTGCAAAAATTCAAGAATTATGCAAATCCTGAAATCAGTATAATTAAAATGTTAAAACTTAGTTTTCTCACAAAAATAGCAAAAGGTATGGACTTATGTGTGGTCAGGTTCGTTGGAACATTGTAATAGCTCGTTGTTGAACTATCCTGATGCGTGATTTTGTACCCTTTATACTCAAAAGCTGGAGGTATAGGTGACACATTTCGGAATTTGTAGGATCATTTTCAGTGCAAGGTGCCGTGAAGCCTGAACAAATTTAACTCGGCGAAAATTGCATGGAAATTTGGTGTAGTTTTTAAATTAAATGCGATCATTTGTAAGCATTTTGCACACCTCTGTCCAATAAGTAAAACTGACCTACTTGCAAAAATTGTGAGGAAAATAATGTATGCAAATGGAAATTCTACAAAAAAGGTAGTGTGGAATGGAAGCATATAATAAGAATCCTGCTGCCATTTGCTCTATCTCTTGGACTAACTGAGCTCTATGAAACTGTTCCGTCTTTGCGATGAAGTTTTGGTAGTCCACGTTAATCGGTGGGTTGAAAAAAAAAGCGAATTAGTGTTGGAATCAAAATAAAATTTAATTTACCAAAATAAATTACAATTATGTTAAATTAATCGTACATTCGGTTTAAACCTTTGGTTGTCAGCGGGGTCGGTACCTCGAGCGCCACCAGGGGATTTTCACACCTTTCTCTTGGTCAAGAAGGGTAAATAGGTTGGCGAAAACGGTCGATTCCAGGAATCTTACGGGTAAACGATGGTTGTTCACTGGCAAATAATCTATAACAGAACAATAACAATTTCCTGAAACAGAAATTTTGTTAATCAACCACAACTATTGGAAAGTAAAACCAAGGAAAGAGGCTCCTTTTGAACAACCGTAAGTAATAAAAAGTGTCAAAGACATACCCTGAAATTGTACTGTACGGTTAGATAAATAAACCCCCGTTGACCCAAACACATGTCCATCGGACGCCGTTTTCCTGTAACACATCTGATTAGCTACCTATTATGCTTACTTAATTGGCCGGGTTGAAATTCTAAAATTCGGTAGCTTAGTTAACATCCCTTGTTGATTGGAATTCTCGGATGAAGCGAAAGGTCTGCCTCTGCGCACTACGACGACCTTGCACGTAGTAATCCTGGGTTTAAATTAGCAAATCCAGCAGGACCTATTCTGAAAACATGTTTCTTGAAGTCTGTGATTTCCTTAGCATATAAAAGTCAATCGGTTTCATCTATGAAATGGATACGTCTTAAATTCCCTAGCTCGAATGGAATGTGGGACTAATTTGAATGCCATCGGATGTCTAGGCGTCTACACCAGTTTAATGCGGTCAATGTAAAACCCAAACCAATAAAAAAGGGAGAGGGCTTCCTTTTTTTATAGAATTTATGTTACATTAACGATAAAACGTGCAATCATAATTACAATTGGTTTTTTTTTAAATTAAACTGTCACTTCGAACTTTGCCAACGTAATATACATAACGAAATATTCTTTAGCCGGAGCTAATTAATCGATCTTATTGTGCGCATACACAACGATAAAATGTTGATTACTCGTCTCGTTTAAACGTAATACAGGGTGACCGTTTGAAAACGAAACAGAGCCTATTTTGGGCACCTCAAAACATTTACGAAAAAATCCGTCAATTTTTGATTCAAGGGAAAACCATTTTTTTTGCCAGTTTCGCCCCCCTGAGGGAAAAGTCATAGTGATACCTTATTTTGAAGGTATTTTTATGTGGATTATAACCCTTACGTTTTAAATGAGAGGGGCATCTTTTCCGGATGAGCAAAATGTACCTACGTATAGTTATCTCAATCATCATTATGATTATGTAACGACATTGTTGGAACAATTTTTCTAATTAATTTTCTGCATTTTTCTGAGGCTATTGCGATGACATCAAAAATAGCGAATGCACTTATTCAGTATTACCATAATACAAGTGTTTTATCACACAATCAACTCACGAGGTATAATTTCTTAACGCGAGCTGTCAAACAAATTCATAATAGACGTCACGTATCATTTCCACGGCCTTCCCTCAATCAAAATTGTGTTGCTCATACCTTATTCAATAAATTCAAAAAGTTTTAAGCCAAAAAGACATTTTTCAATCGTTTCCAATAGAGAGAACATAGCTACAAAATTTTAGCCAAATCGGACCTTACAAAGTTATACGTAATTCAATAAATATCGATTTTATTTCCAAAAAGGCTTTTCGAATCTCCTCCAAAAACTTTTCAGATCTCGACACCATTTAAGAGAACATGCATACCTACACACGTACGTAAATACAGACATTTTTTAAAAAGATTTTTTTGGGACTTCTGGCATCTTGAAACGTAAATATCCGGTGAATTCTCAAAATCGAAATTTGGAGTGATTTCAATAACCACTCAATTTTTTATTGGTCAGGTTAAAACGTTGTCAACGAAAAATAGGCTCATTTATTGTGTTCATAATTAAGAAAACTGCTTTTTGTTACAAATGTTTAATGTATTGATGAAATTGACGGGGTTAAACGACACTATTTTCTTTATTCCTACAAAAGCTATGAAAATGAGAGTGTTTTTGGTAAACCTCTGCAATTGCAATTCACAACTGAAATAGTCACCAATTGCACAATGAAAATATACGGACTAGCAACGATAATCATTTTAAGGCTACTGAAGTCATATACAGCGTCTCTATAATAACGATAGCATGTTTATGTGTTTATTTCACGTGTTTAAATTTATTTTACGGGCAAACATGTGTAAAATTGTAAAGAGAACAAAGACGTAACGTTTTTATGTTCGTATATAACGGTTTTATTAATACGAAAAGACGACTATAAGTAAAACATATAATGATATCCAATTTATTTTAGGTATAAGCATACTTCATTCGAAAGCCCGAAGAGAACCCCCAGCACTATTATCATTTATGAATCCCCTATCTTTGGATGTTTGGTTATATATGGCAACTGCATACTTGGGAATATCGATAATAATTTTCCTTGTCGCAAGGTAATGAAGGATAATATTTCAAAATTCGGCTCTCAATTTTGTTACATTGAAGTTAAAATAAGATCTGCGTAAATCTCGGAAGCTCTTTATACGAATTTGAAAGAATATACGCTCAATTTAGTTCGAGATGCATCTGGTATACAAAAAGCGGTATAAAACTAATTCGAAAAGTGGCTGATTCTGTACGTCGACTCGTGACTGTATTTTGTATTCCTCAAGCACTTGCGCTCTTTATTTTTATTTATTTTGTTTTTAGATTAGCCCCAGGCGACTGGGAAAATCCACACCCGTGCAATCAAGAACCGAAACATCTAGAAAACGTTTGGGGATTGAAGAATTGTTTCTGGCTTACTATGGGTTCTATTATGAATCAAGGATGCGACATTCTACCAAAGTATGTATTAAATTCTATATTGGTTTTGTGGAAGCGATCGTCGAATTTTCAATATTTACGTTCGAAAGCGGCGCGTGTAGGAAAATACTTTATTCTCTAAATTCTATCACTTTGGAGATTGATCGTATTCTACACTTAACACTTTTCCAATTCACGAAAATTTAGATACACTATACTTGTAGAATATATAAATATAGAATCGCACATTAATACCAATCTTTTGCCGCTTACAGTAGATGGAAGCTTAGATTCATTTTACCACATTTACAAATCATTCGGATAGTTTCCAAAAAATCGTTTAATGCCTGTAGTTACATAAAATGTGTGAAAGGTTAAGGAAAACGTTTCAATGAGTTAACGCATATCGGTCGTGATTGAGAAGCGAAGTTACAACGTGCAGAGCATATCGTATTCAATTCCTTTTATTCTGAATCGCAAAGAATATTTATTATAATTTTTTTCAGGTTATTAACTTTATTTATATAGGTCTTGAATAAACACCAATTTCGTTAAACTGATAAGCCTCGAAGCTTATAAGTTTTATGTATCCGTAGGATCTCACTTAGATTTTTGAGCTTTTCAATCATTCTATTCTTACTAAACTTTTGAGATCCAAGAGCTTACTCAATTTGGAATTCAAGCATTGAAAATCAGTCATTCTCGAGTTTTATTTATTTATTACTTAATTTATTTATTTATTTATTTTTTGTTTATTATCCCTATCTTGTTCTGAGTCCTCAACAGGCCCCCGCCAATTTACAGAGTGACCCGCATAATGCTTTTTAGAGGTGCCTCTCTAGAAGGTCTTAAGTTGTTCAACACTACTCCGACATTTACCTTACTAATTAGGAAAACTGCAGTAAAACCTAATTCGGAGTAGCCGGCAAGATGCTTGAAACTGGTCTAAGGTAATTCCCATCTCTGCTACGTATGAAAAGTTCACTTCAATCCAGGTTCGAACACCCGACCTCCGGATTTATAGCCCAACGCTCCATTGAACCCCAAAGTTTGGTCAATTAAGAATAAAATTCCACTCCACCTCATCTTGGTAAAACTCAAAAATTGAAGATCGATTCCATTTGCTTTACGTAATTAACAATTAAAGGTTTTCTGTATTTTGAAATCATAGGTTATGGATTGTCCAAGCATGGAAGTATGTCCAAAACCCAAAAATGTCTAAACTACTTTTCTTTGAGAAATTGAGTAAACGCGTGAACTATTGATTATACTCAATATACTCATATATAGTTTATACTCGTAGTATTCCTTCATCTAAAACACCTCTACAGTAATCCTAACAAGTGTGTCATCCGGTATCCTGTTCGAAAATCTTTCAGAACCCTCGAGAAACTATCTGAAGCCCTAATCGGATCAAAAGCTCAAATAAATAGGAAAATCAAATTCATAGGTTGTGAGCGTACCTTTCATCCGGTTTTTAGCGCATTTCCACAAAAATAAAAAAAAATGCTCTATTGTGGCCACTTTGTCCGTCCGTCCGTCCGTCCGGCTGTCCGTCCGCTCGTTTTGCGACGCTACTAGTTCTTTATCTTAAGAGCTATTGTTCTACTTTTTTCGCTATTTGGTTCGTTATGGTGTCGAGTCTTGTACCAAGGAAGGAATTTTTTCTGTACCGCTTACAAAAAAAGTTATTGTAAAAAAAACAAAAAACCGTTTTTTACATGTTCCATAATTTTACACTTTTGCCGTTTATTAACGATCCTAGAGATCGTTTATAATTTTGCATTGCTATCTGTCGTCTGCCTGTTGGTCTGTCCGTCTGTTCCTTTGTCTGTCTGTCCATCTATCTGTCCGTGTGAACGATAACTTTGTTTAGAAATGTTCGATCGCTTTTACATCTCCGTTAGTTATGAACTGAATTGCATGAAATTCAATATGGGCATAGCTTTAGCCATATAATACGCAATGTCAAAAGTTGAATCGAATCGATTCAAAATTCACAGTGCCCTTTTCGCATCTCGACCATTTATAAACCGAATTGCAAACTTTTTTACTTATAAAGGTATTTGAATGAAATTTGATACATAGGCACTTGGAATAAAGGAAAATCAAACGCCAATTTCAAAATTTGGTTTTGCGCATGCGCAGTGCCAACTTTTTTATTTATGGAAGAATTTAAACGAAATTTGATACATAGGCACTTGGGATAAAGGAAAATCAAACGCCAATTTCAAAATTTGGTTTTGCGCATGCGCAGTGCCAACATTTTTATTTATGGAAGAATTTAAATGAAATGATACATAGGCACTTGGAATAAAGGAAAATCTAGCGCCAGTTTCAAAATTTTATTTTGTGCATGCGCAGTGCCAACTTTTTTATTTATGGAAGCATTTAACTGAAATTTGATACTTAGGCGCTTGGAACAAAGGAAAATCTAACATTAGTTTCAAAATTTAGGTTTGCGCATGCGCAGTTCCAACTTTCTTATTTAGAAAAGCATTGAAATGAAATTCTTCTCATAAACTGAAATTGAAGTAGCACGTCAAAAATGGATTGCCCATGTGCAACGCTATCTTTCATATTTGTGGCCGGATTTTTACGATTTTAACAGAAGTTGCATCTTACAAATGGGAAATGAATGCAAGTGGAAATGCGCTTTATGTAAATCGTTTACGATTACTTTTTAACTTGTTTATATTATCGTTGAACCTGTCTGACAGTTAATTTCCAAGGAAACAATGGTATTCACAAGACGGTTACTTATTATATAAGTTTAAACTGAAACATGAAAAACCAGCCCTAATTCACGGCTTTTATTCTTGAAACAGTAATAAATAAATCACATTAGGTCAACATGAATAACCACTGGATGTCTGCATGAGAATTCTATGATAGTATATACTTATGCTAAACGTACAGGGTGGTTCAAATTCGTGGCTCACCATTGCATTGAGTTGAGATATTCGTAACTGTGAGAGATACAGTGCAGGTTAAATGGGGACAAAGTTGCTCCTTTTTGCGACTAAAAAACACATTTGAAATTTTTGAAAAACTTTGAAAATAACTGAGATATCACCGAAAAACTGAAACTGTCAAATTTTCTTTTCATTTTCCCCAGCTGAAACGGTCGGAAATGGGCACTTCCACAGATGTGGAAGCCGCAGGGTACTGCTTTCTTATTTCTGATCGCCGCCATATGGATTGTTACAGATTTAGATAGAAGACAAAAAAAGAAAAATAATAATGTGTCACACAATATATCTCGTCCACACAATTCATTTTGCATATTTGTGAGTACTTTCCTCCGACGAATCGTTTTCTAGATAATCACTTTCAAAAATGTGTCGCGCAGGAAAGTTATATCTTATTGAACAACCAATTAATTAATTTGTTTCAGTTTGCACCCTTAAAGGCATACGTATGCACAATCTGGAACCAATTGGTTGTCGTATGTAAAAGTTATGCACGTTTTACTTTCAAAAACAGCACCTCGGGGAATAATTGATGGGGGTAGGGGGGTTTAAGACAGCGAAATTTGAAGGCCGTCTGGCGCACCTTCAAGTTATAGGCTACTTTATTGCAAACAATTCCAGTGCACTAGGACGATTCCCCTAAAACTAATTCAACACGGCAGAAGTAGGTCCGAACGGACGGACGGACGGACAAAACGTAAACAATATCACATTTTTTAATTCTTAAAATAATGCGCTAAAAATATAAGAACGCTTACCCTAAATAAAACGGAACGTCGACGCCAAGACGTGAACTCAATTCTCGTATACAGTCCTTAAAACAATCAAAAAATAAATAAAATCTCCCAATCCACAGGGATTGATATATAGTTAGATGATTAATGCCTGAAGGGCCTCGCTCTACTCGTAATCTTCTTATATCGAGTCCATACTTAATTGGTCCACCCCTTCAGAAGGAAGTAGTGAACTAAAACAGCATTCGCGTTTCAAACTCGATCATAACTCAACAGAGATAACAAAGATTCTGATCATATACTGATATATTATGGATGTTCACAAAATAATGAAATATAATCGTATATAAACCTGAAGGGATAAAATAGTTATCAATTAATGGTGGGTTTATACAGTCATTATCATTGGTTCACTAAGCTCGTGATGGTTTCGTTGGTTCGCAACGTCCAATAAACCTTTATTTCTATTGGCTATTTCTTAATGGTTTTTGATAGTGAATTAAAGATAATGATTGTATAAACCCACCATAAGACGCTAAACGTTTACGGAAGTTGCCCTAGATGCTTGTGGATCCTCGACCCTTCGTGACCAGGTGCCCTAATTCTTTATTTTTTTTTTCCTTTATTGTGTTTTGGCTTATGGTTTATTTAGGGAAATATAAAGTGGAAACTCAACAATACCATCTGGAACACAAACCGTACAATCAGATGTAGATTTCAATCGAATCATAAGGAATAAAAAAAACCTCTAGGTAATAAGAGCGTTTTTTGTAAAAATGCAGCTTCGATTGGCTCACGCCGAAATCGTGTACAGTGGAGATTCCTAAAATGTCCAAGATAAGAGAAAAATGTAAAAAGGTTTTAACTTTAGCGGGGTCATATAACGGACTATCTTTGTGTACAAAGGAATATAATAACCTGATGCTTAAATATGCGATATGTTTGCCTTCACTACAATAATCTGTGGTAACAATTTCAAAAATATATCTATAGATAAAAAAGTTGACATTGCGCAGTAGGCACGTCTTATTTTTATGTGTGATAATAAATAATAATCCTTTATTTGCTCAACAGAAAGACATAACCTTTCCAATTTCAGAGCAAAAACAACATTTTACAACTTGTCGGAATTATAAATAAATCAAAAATAAAAAAAAGTCTAGTAATATTGATAGTATTTAAACTACCGAAACTAATAACAAAAAATCAAACAAACAAAAAAAAAGAAAAGAAAAAATTATCTATCGGCCCTCTTGAATAATTACTAAGTGCGACTAATAATACCAAAAGTCATTATTATTAATTGATTATACGACAAAATAATGTTCTATGAAAA